GTCCTAATTAAGTTCTATCCTTTTTTAGTTTCATTTCTGTTGTTGTGACAAAATACCCTGACAAGGGCCTGGAGAGAGGACTTAGTGATTAAGAACACTGGAGGTTCTTGCAGAAGACCTAGGCACCCATACAGCTGCTAACAACTGTCTGTAACTCCAGTTCCAGGGAATCTGACACCCTCTTCTGACCTCCAAGCGCATTGCACGACATGGGTGCACTTACACACATTCAGGCAATACAGTCATACACATAAAATAAAAATAAGTCAGGCATGGTGGCGCATGCATTTAGTCCTAGCACTTGGGAGGCAGATCTCTGTGAGTTCAAGGCCAGCTTGGTCTACATAGTGAGTTCCAGGTCAGCTGAGGCTACAGGGAGACCCTGTCTCAAAAGGAGACAATAATAATAATAATAATAATAATAATAATAATAATAAAATAATAAAATACCCTAAGCCAGGCATGGTGGTGGCACACACCTGTAGTCCCAGCACTTGGGAGGCAGAGGCAGGTGGATCTCTGTGAGTTTAAGGCCAGCTTGGTCTACATAGCAAGTTCCAGCCAGCTGGGGCTACAGGGAGACTCTGTCTCAAAAAGACCAAAAAGAAAACAAAAAACAAACAAACAAAAAACAGCTGGCAAAAAGCAACTCAGGGCAGAAAGAAGTAGAAAGAAGTTTATTTCAGCTTATAGTTTCAGTTTACAGTACATCCTTACAGGGGAGTCAGTGCAGAAACTTGCATGTCAATAGTCAAAATCAGAGCAAAATTCAGCTCTTAGTGGGACATCTGTATCAGGGAAGAAAGGATGGAAAGATTCTAAGAACTAGTGACAGTGTTTTCCAGACACAAGCTGGAAGTTGCACAGCAGTTTTGACAGCATGCACAAACCTGAACAAAATCCCAGTGTGGAGAGGGAAGATGGTCACAAGGTCCCACCACTGAGGAGCTATCAGCAACTGATGGCTGCTGGGAGAACGAGAGTCAGTTTTTGGCAATGGTTCAGTTATGGAGCCCTATCCCATGCACACTGTGGCAGCACCCCATAGTAATACTGGCAGCACTAAGTGGACATAGTGGATTTAAAAAAAAAGACACATGCTGGGTGTGGTGGCGCATGCCTATAATTTCAGCACTTGGGAAGCAGAGGCAGGTGGATCTCTGTGCGGTGGAGGCAGCCTTGTCTACATAGTTCCAGGCCAGCTGGGGCTACAGAGGCACCCTGTCTCAAAAAAAAAAAAAAAAGACTCTCTGCTCCTCCCCATTCTAGAGACAGCCACATCTTCTCCTCCAGTCTCATGCAGTGCCAGCCTCATCCCTGAGACATTATGGTGAAGGTTGGAATGAACAGATTTAGCCATATCAGGTGCCTGGTCACCAGGGCTGCCTTCAACTCTGGCAAAGTGAACATTGTTGCCATCAATGACCCCTTCATTGACCTCAACTAAATGGTCTACATATTCCAGTATGAGTCCCCCCACAGCAAGTTCAAAGGTAGAGTTAAGACTGAGAATGAGAAACTTGCCATCAATGGGAAGGCCATCTCTATCCTCCAGGAGCAAGATCCTGCCAACATCAAATTAGGTGATGTTGGTATCAGGTATGTATGTTGTGGAGTCTACTGGGGTCTTCACCACCATGGAGAAGACTGGGGCCCACTTGAAGGGTGGAACCAAAAAGGTTATCATTTCTGCCCCTTCTGCTGATGCCCTTATGTTTGTGATTTGCATGAACCATGAGAAATATGACAAGTCTCTCAAGATTGTCAGCAACGCCTCCTGCACCGCCAACTGCTTAGTCCCCCTGGCCAAGGTCATCCATGACAACTTTGGCATCATTGAGGGACTTATGACCACAGTTCATGCCATCATAGCCACCCAGAAGACTGTGGACGGCCCCCCTGGAAACTGTAGCACGATGGACGTGGGGCTGCCCAGAACATCATTCCTGTATCCACTAGCACTGCCAAGGCTGTGGGCAAGGGCATCCCAGAGCTGAATGAGAAACTTTCTGGCATGGCCTTCTGTGTTCCTACGCCCAATGTTTCTGTTGTGGATCTGACCTGTGGCCTGGAGAAAGCGGCTAAATATGATGACATCAAGAAGGTGGTAAAGTAGGCATCCGAGGGCCCTCTAAAGGGCATCCTGGGCTATACTGAGGACAAAGTCATTTCCTGTGACCTTAACAGAGATACCCACTCTTCTACCTTTGATACTGGGGCTGGCATTGCCCTCAATGATCACTTTGTCAAGCTCATTTCCTAGTATGACAACGAATTTGGCTACAGTAAGAGTGGTGGACCTCATGGTCCACATGGCCTCCAAGGGGTAAGAAGCCCTAAACCACTCACTCCAACAAGAGGAAGAGAGAGGCCTTCAGCTGGGGAGGTCCCTACCCCAACTCAGCCCCCAGTACACTGAGTATCTCCCTTTACAGTTTTTATCCTAGATGCCCCCAGAAGTAGGGAGTCCTACTCTCTTGAATACCATCAATAAAATTCACTGCACCCACCCCCAAAAAACAAAAACAAAAAACAACAACCCCTCCACATGTTGTGGTGTCTTATACCTAGCATTCAGGAGGCAGAGGCAGGTCAATATGTGTGAGTTCCAGGCCAGATTGGTGTACATAGAGAGTTCCAGGACAGCCAGGGCTATGTAATGACATCCTGTATCAAGAAACAAAACAAAAACAACCCCACATGAAACTGGGAAGGAATAGTAGTGGGGGGTGAGGGAAGGAATGGTAATGGGAGTGAACTCTGTTCTTACACAGTTCAGGGTCCCCTGTCTACATAATGCTGCCACCCACATTGAACTGGGTCTTCCCACACCAATTAACTTAAGATAATCCCCCACAGACATTCCCACAGGCCAACCCAATATACACAATCCCTCTTTGGGACTCTTCCTAGGTTGTATCCAGCTGACAAAACTAACCATCAAGGAGGTTGGAGAGATGGTTCAGAGATTAAAAGCACTTGCTGCTCTTGCAGAGGATGAGTTCAGTTCCCAGTACCCACATTGGGCACACTGACAACCACCTGGAACTCCATCTCTAGGAGATCTGATACCTTTTTCTAGCATCCATGGGAACTGGCATGCTCTCTCACGCATGCACACACACACACACACACACAATTTTAAAAAATGCTAACCATCACAATACTCATCTCCTTACAAGTGTGAGTTCCTTAGGATCAGATGTTTGAGTCTTACCACTTCAGTCAATAAGATTTATATTGTATGTGTATAGAATATACCTGGATAGCATTACAGAGAAGATCTTACAGGAAGGATGGAAGAGAGTGTTTGTTGGGGAGTCCCCACTCCGCTTGAATGAGCACAGGAAAAAGGAATTCTTTATAAATTTTTTATTGAATTTTTGTGTATTTCATATATAAAATCATCTTTATAGTCAGACATGGTAGTGCATGCCTTTAATTCCAGCATTTGGGAGGCAGAGGCAGGTGGATCTCTGTGAGTTCAAGGCCAGTTTGGTCTACTTAGTGTCAGGCCAGATGGGGCTACAGAGAGATGCTGTCTCAAAAAGACAAAAAAAAAAAAAAAATCATCTTTATACCCCATTCTCCTGTCCCCTTTGGCACCCTCCCATAGCCCCTCCAGTGGAGTTCAAACATTCGATCGTTTGTTTTAAGGCCTGTTATGCAAAGTTAGTGTCTTGAGATGTCCCTCAGTGCAAGTTCTTCCACTGGGGCTTAGTCAGCCTACTTTCAGGAATTCTTACAGAATGTGGAACTAACTATTCAGGAAAAATTTAGATGCTATTCTACCAAATGAGTTTTATTGATCTTTGAAAATACATACATGGTGCTGGGGGTGAGTTCAGTGGTGAAGGGCATGTTTAGCACCCACAAAGCCATAGGTTCACTCCCTAGCAACCCCTGAACGTGTGTGCGCAGGTATAAAATATAAATAAAATTAATTTGATTATAGTTGGTATGCACTCTTTTTTCAGTGATCTTTAATATTACTATTTTCTACACTTAGCCTAATATCTTTCAGCTTTTAAAGGAATAACAAGAATTATTCTCCAAAATAATTTGTGTACTTTAAATAGCTCTTACAATCACACACAGAAACGTCCTGAGCAGCCTAGCTCAACAGCAGTGCCTATAATCCCAGCTATTAGCTATACTGGCAGTAGGTTCCCTTGAGCCCAGGAGTTCCAGGCCATCCTGGGCAATGAATCCGTCAAGACCTTGTCTCAGAAAAGGGGATTTGGGGTGCTGGAGAGATGGCTCAGTGGTTAAGAGCACTGGCTGCTCCTGCAGAGGACCTAGGTTTTGTTCCCAGCACCCACATGGCAGATAACAACTGTCCTAATTCCAATTCCAGAGGATCTGATGCCGTCTTCTGACCTCTGCAGACATTGCACAACACGGGTACACTTACACACATGCAGGCAATACACTCATGCACATAAAATAATAAAATATTTCACAAAAGGGGAGGATTTTCGAGAAAACTAACTCCTACAAGTTTTTCTTTGACCTGGGCACCTGTCAGAGAAGGCATACAAGCAGACACGCAGGCACACACATAAATACATAGTAAATAATAATTTTTAAAGTTTATTTACTTTTATTTTATATTGCCTGCATGTGTGTAAGTGCATCCATGTCGTGCAATGCCCATGGAGGCCAGAATAGGGTGTTGGATACTCTGGAACTGGAGTTAAGGGCAATCGTTGGGTGCTATGTGGGTGCTGGAACCCGAACCCGGGTCCTCTGCAAGAGCAGCCAGTGCTCTTAACTGATGAGCCATATCTCCAGCCCCAGTAAGTAACACATTTTTTAAAAGAGTGAGTTAAAAGATTAATTTGATTTAAATTAGGCCAGAAGCGCCTATTTTCTTAGCTCTGCCCTGTGCACTGGGGCGGTTTTACAGCTGTTTGGGATGGAACCCAGCTTTAAGACCACAGACAGCCAACAGTCTGACCTCGGCCACGCCCTTTCCTCTTGACTCCTCCCCAGTTGCTTTTCCTTATTTTCTGGCCTTTTGCGGCCACCGTAGGCAGTGCGGCGAGATGGCTGCCTCCATGTTCGTGGGTACGGTGCGAGCGGCTTCAGGTCAGTGCTCCATTGATGCCTTCACAGAGGGACAATTGGCGCGGGCCGAAGTGGCCTTGTAGCCGGGAGGCTAACGGGCAAAAGCCCAAGATTCTTTGCGGCTCTGACTTCCTTCGGGCCGGGCGCGCGCCGTGCACGGGGTCGTACTCGTGCGGAATCTCCTGTGTACCGGTGTATCCGCGCTCTCTGCTTCCTTTCCTGTCCACCCTTCCCTAGAAAACAAACCAGAGAGACTGACGTACAGGAGGCGAGGGCGACACCCCAAATCCCACCTTTTTAATTTAGAGGCTGACACCCGCGACCCACGACCTTTGACCTTGAGAGTAATCGAAATTCTCTGAATTTTAGGTTCTACAGAACTAAGGCTTGTAAAGCATCTCGAGTAGTGCTTGCGAATCGTTAACTCTCGGAGTGGCTTTAATCCATGCCACTCCTACTACGGGGTGAAGATAGGACATTGCAAAAAGTTAAAATTATTCAAGTATGATAGACATGCAGTATGTTACTTCAGCACAAAATATATTGCAGGGATAAAATTGTGGGAGAATAATAGCAATTTTAAAAAACAAGATTAAAATAAAAATTTCAGGCGTTGGAGCTTAAAATGGAACTTTTTATTGTGTTCAAAATGTCTATAATGAAAAATGCATGTAACACATGAATGGTTTGACAACTCTAAAGCGGGCATATGTGTAACTAACACCAGGTTACATCAAGCCCCTTCTCTACCCACTACATCTCCAGAAGAAACTTTGCTCTTATTTTGTCCCTCATTACCTTGCCTATTCTTCTTGTCGTTTTAGCAACTACATTTCTCAATAATATACGTTTTGTCTGGTTTTGAACTTTGCATTCATTTGTATTTAATGTGTACTGTAATGTCTGGTTTCTTTTGCTTCATGAGGTTTATTCCTTTGCATGATACTGTTTTGCTTTCCTACTACTGTAATAATCTCTTATACGAATATTTCACAATTCTGTATTCTGTTGATGGACCCTTGCGTGCTTCCAGTTGGGTGTCTAGTTTTTTCAGTTAGGCTGGTTTCCAGCTCACCGTATATCTCAGGCTGGCCTTGAACTCCTGATTCACCTACCTTAGCCTCCTGTGTCCTGGGACCCTCAACACCTGACTGGGTGATGTTATGTTCAAAACTGATTTGTACTATATCTTGATACATAAATGCAAAAGTGTTTCTAAGAATGTGTGTGTGTGTGTGTGTGTGTGTGTGTGTGTGTGTAAGAAGAGAGACAGACACAGAGACAGACTAGCTGTGGAATTATTGGATCAGAAGGCACATATATAAGCATTTGCAGAGGATGTGCTTATTCAGTTACCTTAGAGGAGGCCCCGTATCTTCACCAACACTTGTTATTACCATGTTATGGGGGAAAAAAAAACAAACCCAACAACTTTGAGCCACAAAGAAGTCAAGCATTTACCCAGAAGAAAGAAAGCTCATTTATTCTCATGCATGAGGTCCCAGATCTTGCAACAAAGGTGTCAAGATGCGTCCCAACCAGAAGTACAGATGGAGATTAGATAAGCAATTTTACATCGTCATCTTATGGCTGGCACCTGGGCCCTGTGTTTCTTTGCATGGTGGGCCGTGTTACCTCAAGAAAATTCCTCCTGAGTTCACTCAGTCGTCATAGCTTACAAAGTAGATTTCTAAGGCCTGGGCCAGAACATCTGCCACTTTTTGCTCTATGGCTAGGCCAGGCTAATTGGGCTAGGAATCGATCAAATGGTAGGTATCACTGGCAGACATTTAGATATCTGTCACGCTTGATCTCCACTTCTCCTGGACTAGTTGAACCAGTTGTCTTATTAAATAACTTGGTGAACTTTCCATTCTGTTAGTTTTACATAGTTATCAACATTCAGATGTAGTAAATGGAAAGCATCACAGAGCTTCAAGGCATTAAAGAGTAATAAAACATCTCAGGGTAGTGAAAACATCACAGAGCAAAAAAAGCATTGCAGGGTTGCATTTCAAGGTATCTACCTAGTAAGTGAAACAAAAGGAAACTTTTTTTTAATTCTCTTTTTTTTATTTTATGTGTATACATGTATTGCCTGCATTTAGGTAAGTGCACCTGTGTCCTACAATGCCTGCGGAGGTCAGAAGAGGCTGTCGTATCCCCTGGTACTGGAGTTACAGACAGTTGTTAGCTATTCGAACCCGGGTCCTCTGCAAGAACAACCAGTGTTCTTAACCACTGAGCCATCTCTCCAGTCCCACAAAAAGAAACTTTAAATGGCCCAAGCTTACAAGGATTATATAAGAAGACCTACAAATTAAAAACAAAATTTTAAATTTATTATTTTTATTTTATTATTATTTTTGTTATGTGTATGAGTGTATTGCCTGCATGTGTGTAAGTGCACCCATGTTGTATGATGCCTGTGGAAGCCAGAAGATGGTGTAGGATCCCCTGACACTGGAGTTACAGAGGATTATTAGCTGCCATGTGGATGCTGGGAATCAAACCCAGTTTCTCTGCAAGAGCAGTCAGTGCTCTTAACTTCTGAGCCATCTCTCCAGCCCCAGACCTACAAATTTTTGTCAGCCTAATGGCTATACAATGGTATACAGTGTGTCTTTTGATGAGAAGGTCTTATTTTCAACTGGTGCTGTGGTGACACATGCCTTTAGTCCCAGCACTTGGGAAGCAGAGACAGGCAAATCTCTGTGAGTTCAAGGCCAGCCTGGTCTATGTAGTGAGTTCCAGGCCATATGGCGCCACAGGGAGACCATGTCTCAAAAAGACCAAGATCTTCTTTTCATCTATTTAATATATGGTGCTTGGTCCTTATATCTAATTTTTTGTTTATTTATTTATTGATCTTTTTTGAGACAGGGTCTCCCTATAGCCCCAGCTGGCCTGGAACTTGGTATGTAGGCCAGGCTAGGCGTGTGCCACCACACCTCATGGTCCTGTGTGTGTGTGTTTAAAATTTTATTTTTATTTTATCTGCCTGCGTATAGGTAAGTGCACCCGTGTTGTGCAATGCCCACAGAGGTCAGACAAGGCTGTCGGATTCGCTGGGACTGGAGTTATGGACAGTTGTTAGCTGCGCTGGGATTCAAACCTGGGTCTTCAGCAAGTACAACCAGTGTTTTTAACCGCTGAGCCATCTCTCCAGCCCCAGTCCCTTCTATTTTAAAAAGAGGTGTTATAAGTCATATTAACTGACTATGCTGTTTTTTAAATTTTATTTTATT